TTGGGATTCGAGAGGGTTTGTTTTGTTCTTGGTCTTAAGTTTCTCTTAATTAACATTTGTGTCGTCACCCTCACCCATGAAAGAAATTGAAAGTAATATCGTGAAATCTGTTTGCTAGGTTGTGTTGTTCCTTGAACACTTTTTTCCATCTCCACGTTATATATGTTATTATTGTACTTCACTCACAAGATCAAATAAAATAATAATCAATGAATTTATTAAAAAATATCGATAAAAAAATATTATCGAAATAGACGTAAAAAATTTATTTACTTTAAGGTGATTCATGTTTTTGCGGAGAGTAAATCAACCGATGTAATAAAAATATATTTAGCATGTTACCTCAAAATATTACAATTTTATAATAACACTCTATAAATTTGCATCATCCATAGAGTTACTTAACTCAAAAATATTTTTTTTACTCAAAAATATTTTTTTTACCCAAAAATATTTAGAAAATAAAGATAAGGAAAATAAAAGAACGTAGAGGAATTCTCAGTTGAGCAAAAAGACATATCCTATTTATAAGATTTATAGTCTTATAACTCCTATTTATAAATTAATAATATGAATAAATTAAAAAATTATTATGAAATACTGTGCCCTTAAATAAAACAATTAATCGACAACGATTAGTTCGATTAAGTTCTTAATGAAACAATAAATTTAATTTATAAAATATATTATTTTATTTTTTATTAAAATATTTAAATTCTAACATGTTGTTGATCAAGATGGGGTTGGGGATGGGGAATGAAGGCAACAATCATATTGGGCTCGAAGGATTAACATAAGAAAATGGGGGAAAATATTGGGGGCTTGATTTTCTTTTGAACATAAGGAATTTTTGGATGAGGTATTTTTCATGGACTGGGAGCTGGCCTTTTAAATTCAAAATTTTTTTTTTTTTTACATTAAAAATTAGTTTTTTGAGATTACATGAATTATATTTTTAATATTTAGAGTCAGATATCCTTAAATTAGGTTTTTTACATTGATCTATTACATTTTAAAAAATTAATTTTCTAAAATATTAATTTCAAGATATGAAATCACAATTTAACTTATAAAATAAAATTTACTCATTAATAAATTGAATGTGCTATAAAAATATTTTTTTATATTATTTTTAATACAATTTTCACATATCATTAAATGAATAAATGTATTCAATATTACAAGTCTCATATAAATTAAAAAAATAAATTATTTAAATAACACATCAAATTATATCAAAATATAATATAAAAAAATTATTCTAAAATCATTTCCTTTAATAAATTCATCCTTCAAGTTGACATTGCATGAATTTAAATTCACATTTATTATTAATAAAATAAATTTAGATTAATAAATATTAATTCAACCCAATTCTTATCAGTAATTTTTTAAAAATTTGTAGAATTAGAACGCCTATGCCGACATTGCAGGTCAAGCAATTAAAGCAATTAACACACAGGGGCTGGCCCCCGTGGGCTGTATAATTAGGCGGTACGCAATTAAAGCCCCCTGTTTAGGGTTGTTGACTGTAGAGCCCTTCGTACATGTACTGTCTTTAATTGTTTCCAAGTGGTGGAGAGTTTGCAATACATGGCCATGTTATAGTGCCGTATAAGATATTAGTTTGTCTCACAAAAAAATAATGGTTAGTAATAGTCAGTTTTTGTTGTTGTCTTTTTATATGAAAAGATTTAAAAATAGTTGATGTATTTATATATTATTTTTTAAATTTTTTTTGAAAAAGTAAAAATTTTTATAATAAAATAATTTATTAAAATAAAGGTTAAACTCTCATTTTGGTCCCTCAACTATTGTACAGACCTTAATTGAGGCCCTCAACTCAAAAAATCCTTAATTTGATCTCTATTATTTATCATTTTGACCCCAACTTGGTTTTTTTATTAAAAATCCGCCTACGTGTCCCATTAACTCACAAAAACTCGGTGACACGTGACACATCAACTTAACAACATGGATAAATAAATGATGGGTCAAAATTTAATCATCTAATTCATTTAAAATTACAATTTTACCCTCATCTTCTTCCTCCAGCATCATTTTTCACAAATTTTCTTCATTGATTCTTCTTTTTCTCTCTTTGCCTCATATGAATCCACTTTCATCATCATTTTTTTTAATCAAACAATTAATTCATCAATATTTTCTCTCTGAATCCAGTTTTATCACCTCTTTTTCAAATCCACAAAAGAACCTAGTGGTTGCGAGATTCAAAATTGAACCAGTATCTGCTGGGTTCGAAATCGAATGCCCATTTTTAGCTTTCTTTGTTTTTCCTTTTTCCCATTCTTCTTCCTCTTCCTTTCCTTTCACTTTCTGCAAAATCTAGACACCTTTTAATAGCCAAGCATAACACAAACATAAATCCAAAATATCCCTAAAACAACCACTAGCCTTCTCAACCTTCCAAAAAAACCCATAAAAATCAAAATATCTTCTCCCAAATTTCTACAAAAACCCAACTAAGCACCTAAAACAAAGACCAAAAATCAACAACAAAATCTAGCAAATTTGCTGGGTTCAAGAACCAAGCAAAAGTTGAAAGGGAAGACGAAAAGGAAAAG